GAGTAGTGTGTGTGTGTGTGTGTGTGTGTGTGTGTGTGTGGTGTGTGTGTGTGTGTGTGTGTGTAGATGTGCTAGGGCCCTGCGTGTAGGAGCGTGTGACGCACTGTCAGGTGGGTGCGCACGTGAAGTTTAAGTGAAGCAAGGCGATAGCGCGCGGCTCGTGTTGTTGGTGTACACAAGTGCGCATTAGCAACACCCAAGCAAAGGCATTTAGGAGAGAGGGGATGAAAAGAGGCCTCCGATTTGCAATTCCGGGTATCTGTCCATATTGTACGGATTGGATCGCAAGTGTATCACAAACGGGAAATCTGGAAGTAGCTTATACCTTCCATACAAATCATTTCAAACCTACTAATGACCCTAAACATTGTGCAACTCTGTCACCGCTCAAAGTTTGTTTAAATTCTACCGATCCGCCATTGATCTAAGCAACCCATCCATTGTCCGAAGTAAAAATTTTGATGGAAATTTAAAAGATGGAAGATATTTCACAACGAAATCTGAACACTGTGAAGATGAGTATGCATAAAAGTATTTAAACATCACCTATGTTATGAAGAGAGAATGCTCACCGGTGAGAGGTGAAATGGCGTTGTTACCAAATGACCAAGTCTAGATTATACTACTGATTTAAATTTACCCTTAGTAGCATGTGAAACCGCCGTATCATAGGGCGACAAGGTTCATTGGTACATTAGACGATAACTTGGTGTTATATTACACCATAACAAGGAAGCCTGGAGAGGTGAAATCAAATATTTTTAACCTCATCGAACGTTTTGTTCCACTTGAACATGCTTTTTTTACCTGAACCGCTGAATGATTAATCTATCCGTTCGGTAGTAAAATGAAATCGCGGGGACAAATGCGTCATAAATCAGGAATGAATACACAGCAGAATGGTATGCAGCTTATTGCGTCGGTGTCTGCGGTGCTAAAGTGTCCAAAATGGCCATTTAGAGACGCCTTACTCATCACCGCCGTGAACGTCTCCTGACGTGGATACATGGCATGAAACGGAGGCGTCATTAAGGCGAATCTAGTGACTAACAGAGAAAGTAAGCTTGATGTCATTACGAGAATCTCCACCAACCTGTCAAATCCAAGTATTCAAGATCTGAACTGTTGAAGAAAGTGAATAACTGCAGAAAGCTCCTTCACAGTGTTTTATCGGTTGAACTAGTCGCCATCACAGGCTATCCCTCCTTTCCCACTGAAAATGTTAAATGTCTATTCCATTTCCTACGTGGTTGTTTGATTATCCAACGGTGAATTCAAGACGGGGTTATAATCATCACTTGGGAAAATAAAATCACAGGACTGCGGAGGAGGAGGGGGAATGACATGCGACATGAGGTAATGAGAGGTTAAGTTTCCAATTGCATCATAAGGCTAAGGGTGGGACTTTTTCCCACACAAAGCAAGCATAGTGAGTGGATTTAGCTGTGCGGGCCTTAGAAGGGTGAGATGGGTAGTGAGTGGATCGTATGGGGATGACCAACGCTATGGTCGTCAGTTCAACGAAGGCTCTGTGTCGATCCCAGTTCTCGCATTCTTAGAATCCTATCGTCTGTCGTCTGTTAATGCTCGACATGGTTGCATAGCTACCTTTCCTACTTTAATCCTCATTATTTTCACGCCTCAATGCCGATACAGAATTCCTCGGTGCTGTCAAGATTAGAGGATCCCCTCGGATGTAACACACCGGCCTTTGAGTACTTTACCATCAGAACTGTGCTATTTTCAAACCATTTCTCTATAGTGCTTTATCCTTTCGCTGCATAGAGCAACTCTAGAAGTCTCCGCACCCAAAACGGCTTTAAAATGGACCTAAGCTGAAATCGCAAAGTAGCAGGCAAGCTCGAATTACATCCACCAGATTCAACTACCTGTACAGTTCACCATTACCTCTACACTACAAAACTGCACAGCTTTTTCCAGCTAGCTCGCAAAGAAAACAGAAAACTAAGTCAAATTTCAAGAGCCCTTCCAGACGTTTTTTTCTCGCCTAATCAACAAAAGTGCTTTGTGGATGCAAAGAGTTGATGCAAATGCTCACAACTGATATAATTTGTTCGCCTCTTCAGGTGGATGGATTGCTAAATAACACACTCTATGCCCCTAGACTCTGCGACGATGTTGCCAGACACAGCGTAGTAACTACTTGATGATGGAGAGAAAACCTTGTTTATCTTAGGGCGCAGTACCACCTGGATTGCTTTGACTAGTTAAAGAAGTAAAATCGACTTGACAATGGAATTCTTAGCATTAGAAAGGTGAATTGTTTTGATTGACTTCTTTCCGAAAATTCATGCAGCATTGGGCTAACTTAAAAGCGTGCATAAATTTGAAGTGTTAGTAAATGCATGCAACTTCACCGAGGTTTGGTTCATGCGACTGAGGGTTGGGTGAAGGGCAATTAATCTTACTTTTTACGCTCCATCTCCATTCTTATCTGGTTAAAGGTTTTTCTCATCTCCTGGCCATCGCCCTCGGTGTTATTCAGCATTCTGAGTTTAGAAAATACATTGGCACAAGGTGGGAAGGAGGGGGGCGGAGGGGCTTGACGGCAATTGACAAAAGAGGCTTAGTGGGGTGTGTGTGGGCGTGTGTTGGGGCTCCAAGGCCTCCCATAACTCCACCGTGAGAATTGCAATACTACACTTAGCCAATACGCACAAAAATTATAAAACATAATTAAGTAAAATGGAAATGAAAATATAAAATGTGTAAGAGAATTTAGCAAAGGAAATATACACATTAGAGTTTGAATGCTAATATTGAAGGCTGCGAATCACGGCATGATGCATGGAAGTGGAAATGAGAAGGAGAAAAAATCCAACCTACCCTAGACTATCCTAGTGGTATGCTCGATTTTGACTACTAAACTTCTTAACAATCTACAATGATTGTTAACTTCATTTGGGGTCAAAGGTCATTTTTAAAGTGTTTTAG